TTGTATCAGATGAGTCATGAGGCTTCTCTCTTCTATCTGTTTCACACAATGCAAAAACTCGGTTAACTTGTGGAACCATAAAGATTCTTTGATTGTGGTTGATTTCTTACCTCCATTACTGATGTTGATGCCAAGAGATCTTCACATTTGTCAAGCATGAAGTTCTCTTCTGTAGCTATAACAGAGAGATCTGAAACAAGTTTAGTCGTCTCCTCCATCTGCGTAATTGCGATAGAGGAATGTTCAGTCAGGAACCTGAGAGGACATATTCGAAAGCCGCATTTCCTTAGAATCAAGAATATTAAGTCTCACCTGCGAGTGTAAAGACAAGATGGACGATCCCATAGCCTCCATTACATCAAGAGCTGAGGACATAGCCAACTTCAGAGACCCGAGGTCCGCCTGTGATCACAAGAGTTTTACTAAACCATAAATCTTTTCTTGGTCTTCGATTTGTTTTCGACCATTCTATGAAAAGGTAACCCATATACCTTTGTTCCTCCTGTCAGTGAAAGCCGGAGAGTATTTGCTTCCAAGTCTCCAATGGCTCCAGCTAAAGAACTAATGTGTTCTCTCTCAAGTATACCCCAATCGTCAAGGCAAACCATCTGCGCAAATATTTACGCGGAAGCATTTAGATCACAAGATGATGATAGTTCCGATGGAATCAAATGGCTGTTTGATGAAAGACATACCTGATAATTTAAGATGGATTCAAGCTTGATTTCTAGCTTCAGTTGTTGCAGACAAATTCTTTGCGCTGTCACGAGATCTCTTAAGTCTGATGTTGCATGCCAGACATTGTATAGAGTTTCCTGTAAGCTCAAGATTTGTTAAAACAGAGGAAGATACACTTCACACAATGTCCACATTAATCAGAAGGAGTATATTTACCTCTGCAATTAACCTTTGAATATATCTTACTCCCTCAGCGCGAGCATTTGCAAACCGCCACTGCGAATATCTATTATAGAGCAAGCGCAGTTGATGAACATCTTCTATGTAGGTTGCCTTTTTTCCTTTCTTGACATCCGCAAAGAAACTGAGAACCGAGGTTGATTGTGCCGACTTGTTGGTCTGTCTTATCCGGGAAGGACTAGGTGGCGCGGTAGGCGATCTTAAACAAGTGAGATTTGGGCCTCTTGAAGGACTTGGCGGCGGGGTAGGCYATCTTAAACAAGTGACATTTGCGCCTCTTGAAGGACTTGGTGGCGGGGTAGGCYATCTTAAACAAGTGACATTTGTGCCTCTTGAAGGACTTAATCCTCTCAAGGGACTCACTCCTCTTGAAGGACTCATGCCTC